AGTGTACAGTCATAATTTCTGCAGGAAAGCTCGAGGGACATCAGTTTCAAGTTAATAATCTTTCACTCTGATCCTGATAGAAACACTTCCCTTCCTGCTCTTAGTGCTGTGGATTCAGCAGTTAAAGCGCCACAACAGGATTATGTAATACATAATGTTACTATACAGTTTATTCATCAGTGTAATGGACTCTGGTTCCTATGCTGGTTTAAGTATCAGGTACAGAACAGTCTGAGTGTTACTTTTAATGCTGACAGAAAGTTTTTTTTTTTTTTTTTTTTTGCTTTTTTTCCCCTCAGAGTCATGCGTGCCTTTGTTAACCTTACGGCCTCAAAGTGTTCCCACAAACAGAGCGAACTGCAAGAATCCAAGAAAAAGAACTGTAAGCAGGAAATAAATGTTATGATCTGATGTTTTTCTAAGGTTGAGTTGGGTTGCAAACGTGCAGTTCAGACAAAACTGCAGCTGATGTCAACTTATGCTAAAAAAAAACTATGACAAAGTATTTTCTCTGAAAAGAGTCAACACAGATCAGCGTTTTCTGAAATTAAAAGATAACTGAATTAAACTCCTAAAGGCTTTGGTCATTTTTGTCTCCATGAAGGCAGCTTACTGGCATTGAACGCAACATCATTCACATCTATTGGTTTGTTGGTTGTGACCACTACACATTCTGTATACTGGCTCACAACTTCTTACAAAACACCAGCAAACCAAGTATTGGAAACATCTTTTGTGAAATATTAACTGCGTACAGACTTAAAGCAATATTTGTTTTTTTATTTTTATTTTTTGGATTTTCTTTACCCTTGAAGTTAAAGCTGTTATAAACAAGTCTACAGATCAAGCTAGCTTTTGAACACAAATACAGTCACGGAACACTCAACCCTCCACTCGGTTATCTTCCCCGAGATACTTCTGCCAGAACAGGAAACCCGCGATGTAGGGCTGGGCAATGAATCAAAAATGTATCGTTATCAACATTTCTGACACTTTGAGACAATTTTTCCCATTTCAATAATTTTGATAATAAAAAAATGAAAAGCTGTGTGTAGGTCGGCAAGGTTCATGTCCCTTTAAGAAGCTGTACCATCTTGAGTCGCGTAAAAATGTGATTTAAAGTAATACATGTGACAGCCCCATCTAGTGGGCCACTTTTGTTTCTGCACATACCTGTAGTTATCGTCCATTTATCGTTATCGAGGTGAAATCCTCAATATATCGTGATATTAATTTTAGGCCATATTGCGTTGCCCTACCACAATTCTAGACTAAACAAGATAGCGCTAAACACCATTCGCTGTTTTCTAGGTCCAAAACTCTTTTGTTGTCCGTGACTTCAAATGGTGTATTTCTTTTTGGGACTCTGGTAGTTTGCCCTAAAGTGGTAGCAGCCAGGGGTTTCTCCTCCTCTGATTTTATTGAGCGGAGAACCTCTCACACCAGTGGTGTTCTGTTGCTAAATGTGTGAGTATGTAATGAATAGAGGCCCCGAGGAAGTGTGGTGGTTCGGCGAGACCGACAATTGGATGGTCAAATAGTTGTTTTCAGGCTGAAACGTGTTATTGGCGGTTTTTAGACCAATGCGAGAAAATCTCCTCTTTTTTTTTAGTTTATTTAATCACGATATATTTATAGCTTTACTGTTAGAATGTTGTTAAAGGTGTGGTTAACTTGTTTATTAAATAATTTGCAGTGTTCTCTAGTGTAAACCAGTGCCTTATGAGTCTTTTATTTTTTTAAAGCTATGATGCTCCTGTTCTGAAATGCAGATGTTTGTTTGTGCAGAGGTGGGCTGAAAACAGCAGGATCACTCATTATTAATAATGATATGCACACGCATCACTTCTGATTGGCTGACACAACACAGTCAGCCATGTTGCAAAGTCACCATCACCAAGACACTCTCTGCTCTCTCTCCCCGCTGCTAAAAATAATTTTTTTTAAATCTTTCCTGTGGGCAGGCGCGGGTCAAGTCAAGATGGACAAGGTAATGAATGCTAATTTGTGACATAGAAATGTGAGGATTTTCATTTCACCGTCTATTTTCTATCGAAACTAATGCAGGAGATTGATTCCATTTTTCCATTCCATTCCATTTATTTGATAAAGCACATTTAAAAACAGCATGTGAGCTGACCAAAGTGCTGTACAGGGGTAAAAACATATAGGGTTAAAAGAATAATATAAAAGAATAAAACAACTAGAGCAAAACACAAAGAACCAACCATGAGAAGTCAATAAAATCAGTAAAAGAACAGTGTAAATAAACCATCGATAAAATAGCTAGGTAGTAAAAGCAAGAGAATAAAAGTAAGTCTTTAAGTGAGACTTAAAAACCCCAATGGAGGAGGAGAGTCTGATATTCAGTGGGAGATCATTCCAGAGTTTTGGAGCGCAGACAGAAAAAGCTCGTTCACCACGGGTTTTGCAGCGTTGACGGGGAATCTGTAGTAGGTGTAGGTCACCTGAACGGAGAGTCCTACCTGGCACATAAGGAGTGAGTAACGCGGATATGTAGGGTGGTGCTAAGCCATTCAGCGCCTTAAAAACAAACAATAAAATTTTAAAACGTATACGGTAGTGCACAGGAAGCCAGTGAAGTCTTGCTAAAATTGGAGTAATGTGCTGACGATGGCCAGTATTGGTCAGAAATCTTGCTGTCGCATTTTGTATCAGCTGAAGGCGAGATAATGCGGCTTTTGAAATGCCAAACAGAACTGCGTTGGAGTAGTCCAACCTTGAGGTGATGAAAGCGTGAATGGTTGTCTCGAGGTGGCGCCGATTCAGAATGGGTTTTAGTTTGGAAAGACGTCTCAGCTGATAAAAACATGATTTAACCATGTGATTAACGTGAGGGTCCATTTTTAGAGCCACATCCATTTTAATTCCAAGATTAACAATTGTTTGACTAATTTTAAAAGGAAGAGCAGAAAAATCAGGAGCGGAGGAAGACGAACCATCAGGAGTAAAAACAAACTCGGTCTTAAAATCATTCAGCAGCAGAAAATTTGCTAACAGCCAGTCTTTAACCTCACTCAGGCAATCAAGGAGCGGCTGGATGGAGGTAAAAGCCTTCAATGGAACATAAATCTGGCAGTCGTCCGCATAAAGATGAAAGTTAATGTTAAACTTCCTGAAGATTAGTCCCAGTGGAATAATAAAAATGCTAAATAAAAGGGGGCCGAGGATAGACCCCTGTGGAACGCCCCAAGGAAGAGCAGCAGAGGGAGATGAACAGTCGTCCATTCTAACTCTAATAGACCTGTTATCAAAGTAGGAGCAGAACCAGTCAAGCGCGGATCCCTTAATGCCGACCAAATTCTCAAGGCGGGACAATAAAATGTCATGGTCAACTGTGTCAAATGCAGCTGAGAGGTCCAACATCACCAGGGCAACATGGGAACCGGAATCAGTGGCTAAAATAATATCATTAAAAACCCTGATGTGAGCGGATTCTGTGCTGTGATATTGTCTAAAACCAGACTGAAATTTATCCAAGACCCCAAAATTGGTCAGATGGGGCATAATCTGATTATAAACAGCCTTTTCCATCACTTTTGACAAGAAGGGGAGCTTTGAAATGGGGCGAAAGTTCCCGAGGTCAGTTGGGTCTAGGCCAGATTTTTTCAGTAGTGGTTGAAGCACGGCATGTTTAAAAACAGAGGGTATAATTCCCGAAACAAGGCTGGAGTTAATAATGTTGAGCACATGACGGGCTACCACTGGAAGAACCTCCTGGAAGAGTCTGGCTGTACTGATGTAGAAGACTGCTTTCAGACAGGCTGCATGAAAAACTCAGTGACCGATTAAATTCAGAATTATTATATATATATATATATATATATATATATATATATATATATATATATATATATATATATATATATATATATATTCTGTCAACCACACCTTTAAGAAGGATAAAAACGTATTAAGCTAATTTGTTTTCTAAATTTGTTATAGCAGCTTAAAAACAAAGGAAGGCATATTGTAAGGTGTTGTACAACAGAAATTAACTTTTTTTAAGACTTGAGAAAAAAATACTGCCAGAAAAAAGTTAAACTGTATGTAATTTGGGTTTGAACATAATTAGACCCAGATATGTCTGCAGGCGATAGGAATCTGCCAATAAAGCCTTTTTAGGGAGTTTGTGAATGCATCATTGTCAAGCAGCCATTTTTCCTGGTCAGTAAACACAGCATTTTGAAGCACTAATTGAAGCAGTAATAACAGATTTTGTGGACAAGTTGACTTATAATAGTCTTAAAGTTAATAAAACGTATAAAGGAAAAAATATTAAGTAAAAGTACTTCGAGATAAATCAAGAGTCAAAAATCAGAAAACCTGTATTGGCCCTCAAAACCAAAATCGATGCATCAGAGCTCAATGACCTCTTTGACGTATTTGGGACAGAAAAAAACATCTAAATATTGCAAATTTCCAACTGTCAAGTCTCATCTGTGACACCTCCATCACAACTAGACCCACTCGTTGACTGGTTACAGTCACACACACACCGGTTTATTCCACCCTTTAGTTTATGAAACATGTTCAAGCCTCAATTCCTGATCATAAACTGAAAGTAGACGGAATTGTTGTCTCATGGTCCCTTTTATAATCGGAGGGAAACAAACTTGTTAAAACTAATCTGATGAGATCATCTGGGCTCGCGTCAGGCTGGCTGCTAAATACATAAAACTCTTTATTGGTCGGTGGCATCAATGTGGCCTCATAAACAGCGCTTTGGTTATAAAACACCCATCGGCTGCGTTTAAACTGGCTGTTTGACTAGTTTTACAGCAGCTGGGGAGCTCGAGGCAGCGGCAAATTTAGAAACACGCCCCGGCTTTAATGAGTTAGACATTTAGCCTAGCTTAAAATGCGTCGAAGTTCTGCCATTTAAAAACGAGCAGACTTCCTGGATAAAGATAGCGGATTCAGAGCCAAGCAAGAGGAAGGGAAACTTCAATCACACACACACACGTTCACACACTCACCGCTTGCTGTCTGAGACACGGCAGACACAGCAGTCTGACCCATATTCAGCTCCGGGGTCCGAACCGGGGCTCGAACCCGCTTTCACGGCCTTCTATCCCCGCATGGGTTCCGTCTGAGTGGGTTCATGTCAAGAAAGAGGAGTTTTTACGCGGCGATAATGATGGCTGAGAAGCTGGAAACTTGTCTGACTGACGGACGGAGTGATTGGGTCTCTACTACGTTGTAATTTCCCCTCCCACCTCCTCCTTGTCCTGTGAGCGGCTGAGAAGTGCCTCTCAGCCCCGCTATGCAGATTAGGAGCCGCTGGGGTCACCTCCAACCATCACTTTACAGTAAAAATCACGGCACAACGTTAATTAACGCCTGTTAATTACAGAAAAACGGTGAATTTAGTCAAAACTAATTAATTTTCACCAACAAATGTATCCCAGGACATTTACTTTCTTCCAAGCAAACATTTGGACATTTAATAACCGTTGAAACGACGTTAACGACGTCATGGTTGGAAAATAGTTCCATATGACAGTTGAATAGTGATGGGAATTCCGGCTCTTTTTAGAGAGTCGGTTCTTTTGGCTCAGCTCATCAAAAAGAGCCGGCTGTTTCGGCTCCCAAGTGGCTCCTCAGATTTTCTGTTGCGTAGAGTACATTTATAACCAAAATAATGCTAAACTATGTGTAAAATTATTTACTAATGTAAAAATATGCTATATATCAAATATTTATCATTTCTATGGATTTAATAACTGAACACTTTAAGAAATCTCCACTTTCCGACTGCTGGCGCTCATTTTCTCACCGTCTTCGTCGCACTCTTCTCCCTCTTGCTCGCCTTTTTCCTCCTCCTTATTCCCTCTTGCCTCCCTCCACCCGCATGTGCTCTGCTGTGTGTCTGAGTCTGATCCTCCCTCTTCCCCGCCCCTACTGCTCTGTGTGTGGACAGTCTGGACACGCAGTTACACATGTTGACCAATCGTCTGTAGCTTTCACCAAGGCGGGGGGGAGGGGACGGCTCCCAATGACGAGCCAGCTCCCGTCGTTCACTTCAAAGAGCCGGCTCTTAGAGCCAGTTCGTTCGTGACCGACACATCACTACAGTTGAACTGACATCACTGATTCACAACAACTGTTGACATGTTCAAATGTGTCTGAATGGATTTTTTGGAAAATGTTATGTTACTTTTATTTTATTTTATTTTTTTTACTATAGCCGTCCTACCGCAACCATTTTTGGCCAGGGACACAAATGCTTGCTGGGATTATTTGCACTATTTTTAGTTCTTCAAGTTCATTAATATTATCAAACAGGTTTGGTTCAGATCTTATCAAAAACTGACCTCCTGGGTCAAGGCTAAGGTTACTCAAGTCTGGGTGTTATTTTAGACTCTGATTGGAGTCACAGATTAACAAAATATTAAAAAATTTTAGAAACTTTTTTTATCACTCAAGAAAAAGCTGATCAAAAGTTTAAGATCACTGTAAAAATGACCCAAAATGGTAGTTTGCTTAACAAGGTTTCAAGTAGAACTTCAACATGCTACAAGAAGAAATGGAAGTGAGGTCAAACATTTTCTGAGCATGCAATTTATTGACAACAGGCGGTTTCACAGCTGCTCAAAAGTTTAAGACCACTGTAAAAGTGGCCAAAAATATATTTTGAATGATTGGAGCTTAACAAGGTTCTTCAACATGCAAAAAAAGGTTAATGTCATTTAGTTGATATAGTGCCTTCTAGGGTTCTACAACCCCCCAAGATGCTTTATAACACACAAGCAGTCACATACCCATGCACTACGGCTGGCCAATATGGCCTAAAATCAATATCACGATAAATTGAGAATTTCACCCCAATAACGATAAATAGCTTTGCGCAGAAACAGAAATTGTCCACTAGATGGGGCTGTTACATACATTGAGTCATAGTGACTCAAGGTGGTACAGCTTCTTAAAGGGACATGAGTGTTGCCAACCTACACACATCTTTTCATTTTTAATTATCAAATTTTTTGACATGAGAAAAGTTATCTCAATAAGTCAGAAATTTCAATAACGATACATTTTCTATTTTTGCCCAGCCCTACCATGCACGTTCACTGGTGGTAACAACAATAGCCATAGCTGCCATGGGGTGCACCAACAGAGGCGAGGCTGCCAAGCACTGGCACCACCAGTCCCTTCGATCACCACCAGCAGGCAAGACGGGTTAAGTGCCTTGCCCAACACAACAACAGACAGGGCTTGAACCTATAACCCTCTGGTTACAGGGTGAGCTAACTCTTCTTTCGCCATTGCACCAAAAAGAAAAGGGAGTAGGACAAAATATTTTCCGAGCATCCAATTTATTGAAAACAACATGTAACTGTAACAGGCGATTTCACAGCTGCTCAAAAGTTTGAGACTGCATGCCTTTAAAAGGCCAAATCTGTGCAAAAATGTGAACTGTCATTTTCTGTCAGGTAGTCCCACTATCATGACATTCAAATGGTAAAGGCAAAATAATCTCTCTTTTGGAACTTGGTTGGGTTGTTGAACAACATAAGCAGGGTTTCTGACAGAACGCCATCCCTGCTGAGGTGGGAGATGATTAAGATCCAACATAGTAAAGGATTTCCATCTTTAAAGTGGTATTAAACTTTTGATCGAGATTGTATTCCACGAGATCATGCATGCTTTTATTTTGACCCAACAGCCCAACAGTTTGTGGCAGGGATTGACAAAATATCAAAAGGAGGGAACACATAACCATTGCTATGGTTTCCAGTGGCACAAACACATTTGAGCTCCTCCTCCAATTTAAAGCCATTAAAGGTGTAGATTGATCGTTTAATCAATCCATTTGCAGGAGTCTCTAGTACAAATTAATGCCTTGTAAGTCATACTGTGGGGAAACAAAGCTCTAGTGCACCAGTTCAGAAACTAGAAGTGAGCCAGATCAAAGTTGAGCTTCAGACGGCAGGATCTGGAGACCTATTTCCTGATTTTTTGACATCTCTTCTCTTATTGGCTAACAGCAACACGACTTTACCACTGACTCCATTTGTTCTGCAACATTGATGTTTTATCTCCACAAATAACACAAGCCTGAAGCAGTTGTGCAGTGTGGCGGAGTTACTTATGCTTACGGTTAGCTTCTACTAGTCGAGAAGTTCTCTGCTGCATCCTGGACTCTAAACCAACGGCAGCCTTCCCTGTCATGAGTCAAGATGGGTGATAGCATGAATGTTACGTGACAGTAGAGATCTGTTAGAAATCTGAGATGTAGATCTGCCAGGCTTTTCAAATCCTAGAGTTCCAAATCCTTAGCATCTCTATCAGAAGCTAATGCAGGAGATAGATGTAGGAGACTATTTTCATGTTCAACCTGCATGAAACACTCAGAATGACTGATCATAATCAAAAATAACATAAAAATGCTTTTTCAGTGTTCCACACCTTTTATGGCCAAGGGCTTTCCTCTGGAACTCTGCCTCCTTACATCAGAAACACAACTTCACTTGATATTTGTATGAAAATTTAAGACCTTTTTTATCTTTAACTGGTTTCTTCTGGCATGTGGTTGTTTGTTTGGTCTCTTTCTCTGAACAGCCGTATCAATTTCAATTACTTTGACTTTTAATCTATGGACATTTTCTTACATCTTCTAATGTTTGTTAATTTTATGTTAATGTTAATTTAATTGTTTCCTCTATTGCACGACTGCTGTTATGATTTTTGTTTAAACACACCTTTAGCTGCGTTTGTTTCTATGAAAGGTGCCCTGTGAATGAATTCTTACATGCTTACTTTTAGCATACGAATTAACCGGATATCGTTTTTTGAAGGAATGCATGATGCCCGTCACCTTTCATGATAGATCTACACTAAAATCATCTGACACATAGTCATAGAATTATAGCAAAATCTAAAAGACAATGTCACGTGGACTCTCGTGCAATATTGCATGATCACGTGCAATTCCTCTGAACTCCATGTTTATGTAGTGAATGACTGAGCTACCATAACATCATGCTTGGAGCTGCATTTGTATGGAAAGAGCTTCGTAAATAAAGTTTTGATTGATTGATTGACTGATTGATTGATTGGTAGAACCAGCAGAGGGCTAAACATCTAACTGTTTACTGTATTTCTGTAAACCTTAAATAAATTTAAAATGCACTGTGACCATCATTGTAACAACTGGTCACAGTTGTATAATTAATATGTTGTGAAGACTAAAGCTGCAGATAGGCAGTGGTGGCACAATGTTAAACGGCTGGGTGAAATTGTTGCACCAGGCTTTAGAATCAGTTAATACTGGGTTAGGGTACGGTCAGCAGTTTGGGACAAATTTAGTCCACAGTTCATAATAATTAAATGAGCTTAAATGTCGAGACAGTGCGTTGATTCAAAGGAGGGAATGATTAGCCACCAATGTGATTTCTGTCAAGTAATGCTCAAGTAAGCCCAAGCACCTTTGAAAATGAATTTGGGTGTGTGTGTTTACTTGGCGAATGTGTGTTTTGTCATCACCAGTGTCAACACGGAGTCAGCTGAGACCTTGCAGAACGTCGCTGGACAGAAGTGAGTTGTCACACATGGAGACATTTACAAAATTCAGAAAAAGGTACAACAGATCTCATTGATTTAGAGAGCTTTTGTGTGATTTCTATCGTAACTACATGAGCTCCACATTAAAATCCCTTTGTGTTTAACCTGTTTTTATAACAAATAGGAAATACTAGTTCTAAGAAAACACACCCAATACATCCGGGTACACACTCACTCACACATAATGACCTTTAAGTAAACATAAACACTGAGTTTAAAGTTGTTTAGGCGGAAGTTAAATGGTTTTACATGTAGAACAAGACTGCCATCTAGTGTCATCATAAGGATGGACGCTGGGTTGGTTTATATATGGAGGGAGATTGATTTAATTCTTAATGAAAAACTTTATTGTCCATCTTTTATTTTCTCCCCTGAGTAATAAAAGAGTAAAACACCAGAGTCCTGGCTCATGCACATCCTTGCAAAGGAATTTCTGCACAAAGAGCTGAAGCACAGAGACAAATCGGCCACATGCGCAAAGAAAAAGAAAAAAATGCAGTTTTGCTGAATCTTGCAAATGTAAATAAAACATTTGTGCAGTTTGTTTAACTTCCTCTGCCATCATCTGATTATTTTGTTCCAATTCAATAACATCACATGCATTTCTAGCTTAAAAAGTGTGTTGTTCTTTTGGTGATATGAAATAATATGTGCGACGGTGGTACAGGAGTTGAGCGCTCGCCCCGTAATCGGAAGATTGCAGGTTCGATCTGTCGCTGTTGTTGTGTCCTTGGGCACTTAACCCACCTTGCCTGCTTGTGGTGGTCAGAGGGACCGGTGGCACCAGACTCGCCTCTGTCAGTGTGCCCCAGAGCAGCTGTGGCTACAAGGTAGCTCATCACCACCAGGGTGTGAATGTGTGTGTGAATGACTGAATGACTGATTGTGTTGTAACGTGCCTTGGAGGGTTCCAGGACTCTAGAAGGCGCTATAACAAATACAGGCCATTTACTATATATTATATATATTATGTTCTTCAGAGACAACATGTTTGACAACATTATTATATTACAGCTTCAATGAAAGTGCTTGATTTAGATTGCTAGATGATGTCCTTGAATTAAGAGTTTATGTTTAAGTTTATTTATTTGGCAGATGCTTTTATCCAAAGTGACGTACAATTGTTAACTTTTAGGGCATTTTGTGATCTGTAGGGGAAACCGGAGTACCCGGAGGAAAACCACGCATGCATGGGGAGAACATGCAACTTCACGCAGAAAGACCACAGCCGAGTTTCGAACCTGCAACCTT